TCGTCGCCCACGGACTGATGTCGAATTAAGGTAAATGCATAGCTTCGGTTCTTTCCATGTTTTACTTTTACTTCAAGCACTTATCCGTTTGTCCGTTTTGCAAGAGATTTTGCAAAGAAAGAGGCGCCGAGGCCAGATTTTGCAACAATCAGCCGGAGTGTGGCGAAGGCAAAAAAGTTGAAAACGAGCTCGGCTGCATATAAGTATCAGTTGGAGCGTCTACTATCCCTCAGCAATTCTCCTCAGCCTACTGTAGAAGATGAGGTGGAGGAAGGCGTCCTACTCGTAAAGAAAAAGAGGGCCGGCCCAGCAAGGGTGCCCACTTCAGCTCCTTCGAAGGAGGTTCCTCCCCCAACTCAACCTGGGGTGATCGTGGCGACCCTCTCGACCATCCCTCAGGCTATAGTGCCCATAACTACCTATTTTGCTGAGGGCCCGACTAGGAAGAGGCAGAAGCGACCTGCCAAAGCACCGGCTAAGGGCAAAGTTATGGACTTCCTGGGGAGCAAGGACGATGACCTCTCTGAAGCTGTACAGAAATGCTCCCACTAGAAACCGCTTCGGCTGTAAGGGTCTACAGTAAGTACTGGACTGAAGATTGGGCCAACCATGCCTCTTCGTGTAAGGTCGAGGACCTGTGGAGGTCAATAATGCCTGCGTGGCTAGGGCCCTAAGTATGGGCGCCACGGTAGAAGACCTGGTGAGAGGCCTCCGTAAGCTAAACGATGAGCTGGAGGAGAATTGAAAACTTCAGAAACCTGGGAGGCCGAGGTGGCTAAGGTGAAGAAAGAATTAGAGGAGGTCGAGGAGAAATAAATCGTGGCCACTTCGAAGCTAGACACAGCCGAAGTTCAAGTGAACCGACTGAGGAATGAACTCCATGAGTCCTCCTCCCAAGTGGCGCCTTGACTAAGAGAGTCGACGATGCCAATGATCATCAACGGCTAGCCTCGGAGGCGTTGCGGAGCCGAATAAAGAGAAGGGTGAGCTGAGGAAGCTTACTGAGGCCCATGCTGAAGAGATCGTTTCCCTCAAAGCCGAGGTGAAGGTAGTGGGCGAGGCTGCAGTCCGAAACTATAATGATAATTTTGATAAAATGCCTGAGTACGATGACTTCGCCAATTATTGGGTCTCCTGGGCAGCTTAGGAAATGATGTCTCGTTTGAGGGACAGATACCCAGCTCTGGACTTTGTGTTCCTTGAAGAAGAGTTCGACGAGTCGACTGGGGGTTGCCCGATAGTCGAGGAGGGGGAGGCTCAACAAGAGGAGGCAGTGGGAGTTGGGGCGATAGTAAACCTAGACTAGCTTTTCTTTACTTTGTAACAGCTTCGGCCTCTTCTCGTGATGAATGAAAATTATTTTCTTCCAACTGTTGACGCCTTTCTTTATGATAGAAAGTACAATCACTTCTCCTGTAATTGCTTAATTACGTCGGTCTCATATAATGCATCGGACTTACTTAATCACTTAACAAAATGGAAGAAACCACTTAATAATTCATGACTCATCGGACTCACTCAACCACTTAATAAAATGGAAGAAGCCAGTGAACAAGTAATGACGCATCGGACTCACTCAACCACTTAATAAAATGGAAGAAGCCAATGAACAAGTAATGGCGTATCGGACTTACTCAACCACTTAATAAAATGAAAGAGGCCAATGAACAAGTAATGGCGCATCAGCCACTTAATAAGTAATGACGCATCGGACTCACTCAACCACTTAATAAAATACAAGAAGCCAATGAACAAGTAATGGCGCATCGGACTTACTCAACCACTTAATAAAATGGAGGTATACTCGGATAGGCCTGCACCTCGTCAAGTTTGTTTGATGTGTGCTTACTGCTTCGTCAAGAGCGGCACTCACACTACCTTTGACTTAGTAGAATTCCTTGGGGGGTATACCCTTTGGATGGGCTTGCACCTCGCCAAGTTTGTTTGATGTGCTTTTGCTGCTTTGTCAAGGGTGGCACCAGCACCACATTAATTTGATTGCAACATTCACAATAGCACGTATTCCCTACTGATAATACTTCCTCAAATGTTCGATATTCCAGGGGTGAGGCATCATCTTTCCATTCAGACCTTCAATTCTATAGGTTCCAAGCCTGACCTCTGTGTTGACGCAATACGGCCCTTCCCAGTTCAGCCCTAGAGTCCCTGTGCCAGAGTCTTTGGTCGATGGGAAGACTTTGCGGAGCACCGGTCGCCAACGCGGTATACTCTCTTCTTCACTTTGGCATTATAGTAACGCATCATCTTTCGTTGGTAAGA